AAGACAAACTCAGTCGAGGTGATGGCAGAGAGTTGGTGCATGTTAGCCGTTGGCGTTTGGTGAACGTGTTCATGATGTCGGAGATGGATTAATTGTTGACTCCTGGGTTGCCAGAGTTCCAGAGCCTGCGGGACCGCCAAAAGAAAAGAGGGGCCCTGAGGGCCATGGTGATCCTACAGGGTTGGATAAGGCTTTAGAAGTTTTGAAGTCAGCTGAAGTTGAGAAGGGTGAGAAGTTAAGTCGATTTTAGAAAAAGGAAGGAGGAGCCTGAGAGGGGACCCCGCGATTCAGTTGGTGCACTTCTTGAGAAGAGAGCCGCTGAACGCAGGGAACAACAACGAAAGAAAGAGGAGGAAGGACGAAGGCACAGTCGAGAAGGATCGGGACTCGTCCCCTGAAGGAAGCGGGTGAGAAGAGAGTCGTCACAAGGTTTTCAAGGTTTTCGCGTGCCCAAAACCCGGGGGGGAGGGCGAAGTGTGGCGGCTCTCAAACAGACACCCCGGGAAGCTGTTGAACAGCAGCGTGAAGGAGCGGAGCCGGTATTTGGCAAGTCGGGCCGAAAGGGGGAGCGAAGAAGAAAATTGGTTGAGCTGCCGGATGATGGCCTACGTAAAGCAGGTGGTGCTCGTTCAGCACCCTCCTCAGGCCATCGGGGGAAGGAATCGCCGAGAGCCGATCACTCTGGGGACAGCGACCGACATGTTGATACAAGGGGAGCTTCCAGTTTTGGGGGACCTCTTGGTTCAGCGGCTAAAGGCCCGCGAGACCAGCCTGAACGAGGACAGGCCGCAACATTGACCTCCGAGGGATAGCGGCGAAGAGCGGCAAAGCTGGAAGCCGCCAGCCTGAAACTGAAGGAGTTGGTGAGCAAGAGCAAAAATCAAAACTGGGAAAAAGGCGGTGGGGGACGGGCGGACCGGCCCCCTGTGACGCCCCCCAAGGAGGAGGGGAAGGTCGCGTCGAAAAGTCCCGAAAGAATTTGGCAGGTGAAGTTCGACGATCAGCCAAAAGAGATCGTTCCCCAAGAGAGAGAAGTCCTCCAGCAACGAGCATGGTCATCCGAGAGCGATATGATGCAGAGATGGTTGAAAGAGGAAGAGTGTGGGTTCTTGAGTATTGCACAGTCAGGTGGCCTCTTGGGTGCTGATTATCATGAGAAGTGGCACCAATCTTGGGGAGTATTTGGTGCGGTCCACAAAGCCGGGGTCTGACGACGGCAAAAGGGGGAGACAGAGGGATGTTCTTCCGCCGCCTTGGACCGATGCGGAGGAGGTTGAAGGAAGTCATTGAGGTCTCCTTTAAGTGGAGGAGCAGGCTTTCTTGGGCGATGTGAAATGAGAAGGGCCAGCGTCTTCCCGGACCTTGAGGAGGAGGAGGAGGAGGAGAAGCTATGGTGAGTGTACTGGATGATATGCCCTGCTTGAAATCATGGAAGCCAGGGTAGCCAAGGACCTAGAAGGCAAGAGCTCAGCAGAGCAAGAAGCCTTGGGACGTGCTTACGCTGACTGGGGGATTCCCTATTCAACAACAAAGAGCCTGCAAAAGGGCCCGGAAAGCGGAGAAGTTAGGAGCTATCCTCGATGGTGACCAGGGCACAATCTTTCGCTGGCCTTCTGGTTGTTGCGGCAGGCACGAGTTCCTCGAAAGGGGTTACAGATCTTACTAGGTCGAGAAGTCCATGCTGCACTTCACACGACCACTGTTTGGAGTCTTTGATTATGCGTGGAAGAACATTTCAGTTTGAGTGAAGCTCGGAGGAGTGACAGTTGAAGAGATTTTGCTGGCCGGGTGTAGCCAACCTCTCCGTGTTACTGACCTGAGGTCAAAGCTGCGTGAGGTAGCGACCTCGGACGCTAGCGAAACAGGAGAAAGTTCGGATTCGGTGTTTGAATCAAAGGTGATCAGCGAGGGCTGAGAGAGATGTGTGCCCTGGAGGAAAAGCAGGACGATATCCCAGGAGAAGGGCCACAGAGTGTGCTGGTGCTCGAGTTCTCTGCGGGGATTGGTAGCAGGGCATTGGAACTCGCCGGATACAAACTTGATCATCTGGTTGTCATTGAGAACGATCCTGAGTGCAGGAGACTCAACAAGACGAGATGGCCGGGGGTCGATGTACATCACCAGAGTGACAAAGGGGGAAATTGAGAAACATGAGAAGTGTCCCACGTTGGACCGGAGTGATAGCAGGAGGAGGATCGCCCTGCCAAGGGATCTCAAGACTGCATGCCGATCCGCGCCTGCAGGGCCCAAGGTCCAGGCTCTTTTATAAGTACGTTGAGGTGCTAAGATCTGGCACGGGAGATGGACGTCCGGTCTCCTCTGATGGTCGAAAATGCGGTCGGAGATGAAGAGGATATAAAAGAGATGAGTGAACAGCTTGGATGCCGACCCCTGTACGTTTGTTCCAGCGGGCCTTTCTTGCGTTCGGAGACCACGGCAGTATTGGAGCAATGTGGGATTGGAGGACCATCCCAGTTTCCAGACAAGCCACCATGAGCTGTACAAGGTCATAGATTTAAACGAAGAGCTTGAACCTCTCAACTTGGTATGTGATGAAGAAGGCTGGGTCAGGCCTGCGGCCGAAGTGAGCAAAGGCATACGGCTGCCAACGTTCACAAGGGCTATCCCACACAAGAATCCGCCGAGCGATCCAGCAGGAATAGCTAGCTAGCGGGAAGGCAAGTGCGATTGAGAGGTGGAAAGAAGATCAAATGAAGTATCCACCTCACAGTTGGAGACCTGAGTCCCTCTTCCACAATGCCAAGGGGGATGGAGTAAGCTCAGCGACAGGGTAAGAACGCCCGACGGGACACCCCGCGAGATACACCCTGATGAGCGCCGTCAACAGACAGCAGCTCGAGAAGCCGCTCTGGGCAACAGCTTTCACGCCGTGATAGTGGGCTGCCTGCTAGACCTCTGGCCCTGGAAAAAGCAGACTCGAACGGACCCCAAGGGGGCGAAAGCCAATTGTGGAGAAGTGGCATGAAGAGATGGAGCAAAAAGCCTATGATGGCTTTGGAGAACAGGATGATGCCACGACTCATATCAGCATGAGTGAGCGGAGACCAGGAAAAGGAAGAGGCTTTGCACCAGGTGATGAAGAGTCCCAAAGAAGGAGGAAGGGTTGCGTCTGTCGGAGCAAAATTTTGGAAAGGATGGAGGAACAAGACCCACAGATACTTGAGGAGGATGGAGTGTCGGGGGAGTAATGTTCGCTAGGACCTCCAGGTTGTCTATCGAGGTATTGTGGGAAGAAGGTGAGTCAAAGACTATGGCGAACTATGTCTTAGCTGCTGTCCAGTCCCAAAAGCCACGGTTGAGAGGACAGGTCAAAGGGCCGTGGCAACTTGTTCCCTCGGGGAATAATTAACTGGAACAGCCCGTGAGGGCTACGCTGGAAATGGTAGCGCCCTAGTTTAGCGCAACTTACGACTGTTGCCTTTTGCCGGCTTTTTGCGAATTGGTAAAATGTTCCAGTTGCACCGTCGTGATGTAGTTCTACCGCAGCGTTCCGGCCAATCGGCCACGTTGTTTTTGGCATCACGCTAAGACAGCACAACGAATTTTCCAGTGAAAAAGTGCTCATTTCAGAGCAGACTGGAATCTCCTGCCTGCGTTTGCTGTATCAGCGATGTAGGCCTGATGAAAAGTTAGCAGATTGTTCCCCACGACCTTCCGGACCTTGTGGAAAGAGGTCGCCCTTCACTTGGATCTGGGGCTTTTAACCTCCTCCCATATAGCTTACGATGGGGGGGAGCAACATCGGCATATGCCCAGGGCATGCGTTTTGACCAACTTTTGGCCAAAGGCCGGTGGAAGCATATAGCTACCGCGCGCTTTCACCTCGATCAAGCCCTCCAAGAATATACTGCCTTAATCCTGCCTCCGCGGAGTTGTCAGAAGATTCGCGCCGCTAGCCACAGGCTTGCGGCCGAGTTGGGACGCGTGGAGGAGGGGGCAAGGAGAGCTTGACAGATCGGAGGGCAAACCATTTTCAATCAGAGGGCACTTGACCTAGAAAAGCGCGGCTAGGGTCAAGAGGTGGGCAGAGCAGAGTAGTGCATATATATATATATATTTTGTTTGTTTGTTTTGGTGTACAGAGCTCTAGTATGGCTTTGACGACGAAACTGCTCCAACGCCATTGTTGGCTGTGGTGAAGGCCACACTTGAGTTTGACTGGAAAGCTTTGTTGTGCACTTAATCTACCATCATGCAGGCAGTGTCTCTCGTTTTGTCGTGAAATGACATCGGGAAATTAGTTGTCTGTGATGCAAATTTTTGGGACCTCCTTGTCACTTGGCACTCGTTGCCGACTGCCATAAGCAAACTTTTCAAGAGCAGCTTTCTTGGCAGCAAAGCAGAGGCTTTCAGAGACGGCGTTAGAAACATCGTGGTTCGTCTTCAACGCATGTGAGTGCAATTGTGTACCACATCCACCACACAATCCATGACATGTGTGGACTTGTATATTTCTTGGTTGCGAGTTTTGCTTGCCCTTCTATGGATGTTCATTTTAAGGAATCACATGGGTCCAAACAACCAACTGCATAGATTCGAAATAGATAGACCTTCAATTGTGACGGTTTGGCCGTTTTATTTATATAGTTTGACGTCCAAGACGCCGAGTCGCCAAATCAGCTGGACAAGCGCAAACACTAAGTCGAGTCAAAAATGAGGAGATGAGGCGGTGAATTCAGGATTCTTGTTGCACTGACTAACTTGTCGGTTTGATGCCCTTCGTGCAAGTGGATTTGGTTCAAAATGATCCACAGCAACCAGAGCTGCGGCAGATCGACCGATTAGCAGAGTGAGACCTTTAAAGCTCCGATCATCTTCCGCATCCTGTTTGTGGTTACTTCGATAAGGAGGCTCGAGTGAACATCTCAACTTCTATGGAACTTGTCAACAAGGCGAGTGTGTTCGGGTTGGCACCTACTTCTCCAACCATGACAGCATGGCTATGTATATACTGATGTCTCCTTTGAATCGTTTCAGCCCAAACCTCCACAGCCGAACCAGCGATCGGATCTTCGAGCGCCATGGCGGACGTGTTGATGGGTCGATGAGACTCTCAGGCTCGGCTTGTCACAACAGCGAAGGAACATGTCAATGGAAACGAGGCGTTCCCTATTTCTTTTCTTATTCTAAAGTCATGAAACCATAGGTTTCTGAAGATGGTTGATACCTTTCAGCCCATGACTTTAGGAGCCAATATGTCTGCAGGTTTGTCCATGACCGACCCACGACATGGGCCCCTGTGACTTTCAATGTCTATTGACCAGCCGTTTGAAGGGATTGTGGAACCAAGAGAGGCTGCGGACTGGTGAAACACCTTGACCATCCATGTGCCAGACATGCAGATAAAGATATGTGTGGCGTAGGTAAAATCTGCTCTTTGTGGTGTTTGGTTTTTGCCCCTCCCCTTTTGTTCAGCCGAAAGCGCATCGGTGGATTTCCAGCGGTTGGATCCTCGCGTCGAAATTCGGGCCACGGATGCATTGTATGTTATGGTTGGTTTCTGCCCTTCAAACGCACGCACCACGGCCGCTGCACTGTTCCCTGCCTGTCTGACCACTCTCGTGACTTCCAGCATGAGGGTGGCCGCCAACGGCAAATGGGCAAATGACCTGCCTGCCGTGCAACGAGCTGCCCATCCGCATACGGATCATTGTGCTTGAACAACGAAGGCACACAGTCCCACCTGTGCCGCTTTGCCAGGAGTCGCTCATGGCCTTGGACAATTTTGACAGATGAGCCGATCAGCCAATTGCCAGGTGCGACCTGGTTTGGTTTACGTGCTCCGGTAAGATTGACAGGTCAGTTGCGAGGCACCAGAGCGAATACTCGGTAAGCGAAGATAAGGAACATAAGCGTCCAAAAAAAACAGAAAGGGTCATAAAGGAAAGACTTTTCTTCTTGACTGTGATTGAACTCTTTTGAATCTTCTTCGATTGGCCAGTGCAACGAAGTACAGCCTTAGTGCCTGGTTTCAGGCTTAAATGTTCTTTGTGGTACCACCAGTATCCTGATCTCAGCCGAAGCCTCCAGGACGCAGCTAGAGCTTTGCTGCTGTTTGACGCGTGTCACCTATAGGTTTGATGTGCACAGCACATGGAAAAGTACACAGTCAAAGCGGTGGACCAGAACATGAGGTTTTTGGGGGGGCCGGGGGACGTCACATCAAATCGGCATTGCGAGCGCGGCCACACGACCGGGACGAGACACACACATGACCCGGTGGCATGTCGAGAGACTGAGAGACGGTCTCGGGAGATCTCACCGCACTGCATGAAAGACAAAGGAATCCTCGCGACCCAGGCCGGACAATAGTAAGAGAAGTGTGACTGACCAGGTCATGTAGTAGCAAAAACGTATATGGGCCCTGATCCTTGAGAAGGTTTGATTCACGTTCTATATACTCTTATTTGCGTCGCCCAGCGATTTTGTGACGTCTCTCGAGGGTGATGGAGCTTTGACGCTTTGAAGCGGTGTGTTTACGCTTTCACCGCTGCCGCGGTCCGAAGCCACCGGGCAAAGCCATCGGTCAAAGCCACCGGGCTGTGTCGTGCGGGGCGGCGTCCGTGAGCCACCATGTCGGGCCGTCAGACACTGCATGAGCGCACCTATTACTTTGAAGTAAGGGTGAACTGGGACAAACTCATGCAGATCGATCAGCAGAGTGAGACTCGGTGGTTTGCATTGCTTTGTTTGAGAATTTTTTTAGACGATTTTGGATGCATTTGTGGGAAGACATATTCTTCCAAATGACCGCTCTAAGCGATGGGATGTCAGTTGACTGACCTCACCAGCTCCAGGAGACCTTTAAAGCTCAGATCTTCTTTGAGGCCACCTTGCTGGGCCGCAAGCATCGACCAATTTCTTTAGAAGAGCAGAATGAAATCGAGAAGATCTTCAAACGAGCGACCATCGAGAATTCCATGGCGAAGCCTAAGGAGGATGGATTTCCGGAGATGTCCAAGACCAAGGACGCCGATGGACAGGAAGTGGCCGCGCAACCGTTGAAATTCACCTGGTTGATCCACGGAGAGTTCTCGGAAGAGCTGGAGCTCAGGTACTTTCCCTTTGACACCCAAGACCTAAGCCTCACCTTGCGCTTCGGACAGCCTCTTGGCCTTTCGGGGTCTTCTCGGACTGAAGGATGAGGAGGGGCAAGTCAGCAGATGTCAAGTAGAAGTAGTAGTGAATCTGCAGTGTTTCTTTAGATACGCTTCAGCCAAGAATCAATTTCTACAAGGAAGACCGCCGTCATGTTTGAAGACCACGCACATGTTGATGGCAATTACTCAGGTATGAATCATGGAAGTCTCGCGTAAGAAATAGTCTCACTCAAGTTGTTTGTTCGTCCGAGTTGAGGTGTTCAACCTGGTACCGGTGTATCAAGAAACATGGTTTCGCACCCTTCATTTAACGGGCAGTGAAAAGATTGATGGATGAACACCAATCAAGATTCTTGCTGAGGAAGGTCCCTTCTGTTGGACATACTCTGAGCCAAATGAGGGATATTGCAAAAATAATACAAATCTATCAAAATCTATGGTGTGGGTTGGGCTGTGGTTCCTTTAGTCTGTAAAGGACAACAGGGGCCGACCATGACTATCCCCAATAGCGTCCTTGAGCCACAGATTTTGTCCATAATTATATACTCATATAGAAACATTCCAGAGCAGTCAAGCTTCAACAGCACCAGAAAAAGGGATGCGCGTTCGACTTGATGCGCGTTCCACGACTGCTGCTGTTCCACCCGCTCTTTTCTTCACTCCAACACCAGGCCTTGTCGAGAAGACAAGGCGCAAGTGCGCTTCATTAACAGCCCCAGGTCCAAGGCCGGGCGGGCACCGCGCCGTGCGATCGCCGCTCTTGGTGTCCGACCTCTGAACGAAAGCCGTGTTGTAGAGGTGATCCTAATTGAAGCAACTGGTATACTTTAGACACTTTAGAGTACACTACAACACGGCAGTGACAAGCCGTACTTTAGAGTACACTTTAGAGTACTTTACGGTGACAAGCCGTGTTGTATACCTATTCTTTAGACACTTTAGAGTACAGTTTCAGACTTGTCACTTGTTGCGAGCATACGAGCAAAAGCACACAGGACTGGAGACGTGTTCGGTGTGACAGGTCTTCCTCAACGTCTTCACCTTGAAGAATGCATCGACCGAACCACAGGAGATCCATGTCGACTTCTGGTTCACTAAGCTGCAATACCAGGCAGATGACCAATTCCCACTGATTCAGATTCACTGCAATGTTGGGCGCAAACCAAGGTTCCTAGGCCTAGATTTCAAGAGTGCGTTCCAATGCCCGTTTGTTTCGCGAGACTGAACGAGCTCATCAGTCTGTCAGTGAAACTTGCTGAGTGAAAACGATGCCTTAAATGATTCAATATGACTTCATGGAAATTGGGTGAACCCTCAAATTCATGGTATACCACGGCTTTGGCTTGATGTCCAATGTTTTTACTAGGACCATCAGGCCATTTGTTTGTTGTTTGTTCTCTTTTTGTTCTTTTTGCGTGTTTGTTGTGTGCTGGACGTTTGGCTGCAGGTATTACTTAGTGAACGTGGCGTTGCCGGTCTTCTCCATCGTCATGGCCAGTGGCTCATCCATGACGGTTGATCCGCGAACCGACATGAGCGGACGGCTGGGAGCGACCCTAACGTTGGTTCTGACTGCAGTGGCTTACAAGTACCTCGTGGCACAGATGGCCTCCTGGCCTGCCTTGGGGGCTGGTTGAAGGGGGGTCTCAGGGGGTCTAGGGATCTTGCGGGTAGGTCTAGTTGACAAGGATGGAGTATGGTTTATACTTGGAAGCTGTGGGTGAAAACCGTAAGAGATATGTGCTTGATCAAGTTGCCGCTTTCCCGAGTCACCGTGTTTAGGCCTCAACCAAAGTGAGGTGCCTGCGATTAGCTACAACACGTTGCTGGATCACTACGTCCTCTGGTGCTGGCTCTTCTTGCTACTGATGGTCCTGGAGAATTGTATGGGTATGTTGAAGTGGTGGTACGATGATGAGGTTGTGATCGGAATCATGCTGTGCTGCTCGCCTGAGACTCGTTCAGCGCGGCGCTCGACGGCTAGGCCCTCATCTAAGAGCATGTAATCACAAGCGCGGTTTTCATCTGAGCAGCAGCTCAGGTGGGGCCTTCCTACTCTTTAACCTCATCTTTGGCATCATTTCCTATCGAATCTGGAAGGAGGAAAGCAGTCGCCTCACCCGCCGCGTGCCCTCCACCGCCTCCGCTTACGAGCGCCTCCCCGAATCAGATTCGGAGTTCCCGTGGTGCGGCGTCTGCGAGGAAGAGGAGGCGCACGGCGCTGAGTCGAAGGGGTTGGAGAAGGACGATCCCCTTCGACTCAGCGGTGTGACGAGAGAAGACCTCGCGAGTCCAAGGGGTGGGGAGGATCGTGCCCCCACGACGACGGGGGTGGACCTGCAGGGGCTGCAAGGAGTGGGTCGGACCTTCCGTGTAATGAAACCGTAGCTCTAAAAACCGAGGTGGCTGTCATAGATCATAGGTCAGATGCTGTGTTTTTCTGGACCATTGGCCCTAAATTCTCGGCCGATGGCGGACAGCGCGTCGTCTTGGGGGTCCCAAAGTGGCGGATGCCCGACGCCCAGTTTCGGGTGCCAAAGCTGCATCTTCCCCTCGGGCTGGGATTCTGACTGGTCTAGCGGCAAGAAGTGTGTGGGGACAGAGGGTCGGATGCGGGCTTTGGAAGGTTTTGAAAAGCAGGCACATGGCTGTAAGCAGGCACATGGCGGTGTTTCTCAATAGGGAGACATCCTCGCCCTGGCTGGGTTGACTGGTTTAGTTTCCTGCTTCCAGGTAGTCTGGCTACTTTAATACACACCCACATTGTGCCGTTTGTGATCTTAAAACGAGACTCTGTGGATCTTATCACACGGCCGTGCGAGTCGTGGTTGGCTTTGCTCACAGGCAGTTTGGGATGGTGGTTTGCTGTCCCGCAGCTGTTCTTGAAGGCCAAGACAGGTTGATGGTCCTCCTAGGTCAACTGCAAAACCACTTGGAACCAGCTTTCCTTAGCCACTAGTCACTAGTTGCCAAGATCTGGCCGCCATGACGGTTTCGATGATCCAGGGAGGCCGGATGGTGCTGTTTCAGGTCGTGAGAAAGGATGCAAAAGGAACATCCTCACAAACGGAATTTATATAGTTGCTTGTACTGGTGGTGTCTCATTACCTGGATATAACGTAGAAAGGCCTTTGCTAACCATCATCATGATCATCGTCATCATCATCATCATCATCATAATCCACTGTTACAGAGAAGAGGATAATGAGGATATACCTAATGTTTGTATAATTGTTGTTGCTATGGTCCATCTACTTCTGATATTTGCCTTTTTCAATGCGGACGCCGTGTTCCAACTTTTAGGTGTTGTTCGACCTCGTTTGTCGCGACGACTTGACCTCGTCACGACTTGATCAATTGCTTGCTTTCTTTGGAAGACGTGTTTGACTCGCTGATCCCGAGTTTTCTTTCAGACTAAACAGCTCTGAAGCAATCACCGATCCTGTTCCTGAGTTGGACTCAACAGCTTCGGTTCTGAAGGACTCACTACAGCTCATCTTTGTTTTCCCTCCATGTGAGGCAGTCGATGTCGAACCCAAGGCCGTGCAGGCGCATGTTGCGTTTACGCTCAGACATGACCAGCGCTCGCTTGGTGTGCACCGGTTCCAGACATGACATGATCCGTGATTTGATATGTATTGATAGGAAAGATCTATGTTTCGGGCCATTGGTTAACGCGCCCCCCCAAAGAAGGGGGCCCTCTTTGGGTTTCAAAAATAACATTCTGTCTCAAGGTAGTAGATCGACCTTCTAAGTGTTTTTTTCATGTGTTTTCGTTTCAATCTCAACCGCAGAGTCTTCAGCTCCTCCCTGCGAGGTGGTTCGTCAGCTGAAAAACATGTGGACGGACGGGCCTGTCGGGCACTCAGATGATCTCAGATGGCGATCAATGGATTTACTAGCACAGGACAGCCATCGTTGTATGCGCGCAAGTATTGTTTGATCACATACGGAACGGCGCAGGAACCGCATGAATCCTGAAGTCAAAGAAGGTGAGACACTGCTCTCGGTGTTCCCGAAGACACAGGTGCACTGCATACTGCTGTTTGAAGTCTACTTCGCAGGCACCACCTTGCCCGAGATGCAGAGGTATGAGCCTCATAATTAGTACTCAACTCCTAGAGGGTGGCTGATCTGCCTGCGTTGAAGGGTAGAAAAACATGGCAGCATATGGCAGCTGTGTTTGTTGTTGCAGATCTTTGCTGCTCTTCTGTGGACGTTCATTCAAATAGCTCATGGGCCCCAGCGACCAGCTGTTGGTTTCAGGGAAGCCTTCAAAGGCGGCGGGTCGACCGTCGTATGTTGTCATCCGCAAGCTTGATGACTTCTGTGCAAGTGGTGAAGTGATCCAAAGAGATCATCCAGAGTGTACATCCTTAGATGCTTGGCCTTCAAGAATTCCGACGCTATGTTGGCCTTCATGGTGCTTTGCTCGGAGAATTGATGCAACTTGCCAAAGCGGCAAAGGACAGCTGGCAGTGTGCTGTGCCAGAAAAGGAAGATACATGAAGTCTCTTTGAGGGCTCATGGTGGGTTTTGAGGCAAGCAAGTGGTCGAAAAAAAAACGGTTTGACTGCAGGCAATGAAGCTGTTTGACGCATCCGGTCTGTATTTTCAGTTCAAGGAGGCTCAAAGCAAACGTGTCATCCGAACACACATGCATTCCAGTATGACTACCATACCGATGTCTCCTTTGCAGGCGCGCGGCATTTCATGAGTGGTTTCAGCCTAGGTCCACAACAAGAACCATCCAAGAAAAAACGGATCGGATCCTCGAGCGCCATGGCGGTTGATGATCCACTCAGGCTCGCCTGCCCGGCAGAGGGATTCATCTGACGGTCAACTGTTTTTATGTCTTCGCTGTGGCATGACCCATGCCCCGCCATGACCTGATGACCCATGGTGTGCCGTGTGACTTGCGACACGCCACGGCGTGCCGGTGGGGAGTGTGGAATCAGGGCCTGATCTTTGCATCGTGTCTGTTCGGGCTCAAGCTTGCCCGTCCGAGGTTGAACCAAAGCCCACGGGTGGACTTACTATAGTGAATCCTCATACAGTAAACTTTGCTGTTTGTGGATGGGAGAAATCTCTCAGTCTTTCTGCATTCTTGCTTCCTTGTAGCCAGCACTCTCTACGCACACCTGGACAGAGCTGTGTGCTTGTGAAACTAGCAGCCAGCTGCGACGCGCTTTTCTTTAAGCGTTTTGCCAGACATCAGAGGGCTGAAAGAACTCTTGATCCGCTTGCCTTTGCGTGAGGCGTCAAGTCTTGCCGCTCTGCGGTATAGGCAGTGGTGGGCTTGAGAAAGTGGGCTAGGTGCTTGTTGTCAAGCATTGGCCGGTAGTGATGCTGGGATTCAGATTGTTGACAATTCACAGATTACTCACAGTGTACTGGTTCCTTCTGGTTGTATTTTCTGGGCCTGGCAGATGAACCTTCAGTTTCAATCGTAAGAACTTCTGATGGCAGCTTGTTCAGACAGTGTTGGATGAAGTCATTTCGGGCCACGGATAACGCCTACAAGTTCCCATGATTTCCAAAGACAAGTGGATTGCGTTTCAATTTCAGGTAAGATGAAAGTGGTGGTTTGCATTTGGGTGTTTGAAATCCTGAACATGTTAACTCAAGTCTTGAGCTTTGCTCTGGGAATACGAATGCCAACATCATGTCCTTTCTTCAGACTTGTTGTTTCACTTTGCTTTACCATTCTTTGCTGGCCTTTTCTTTTACAAAGACATCGGTTCCTTCCCTTCCCTTCCCTTCCCTTCCGTTCCGTTCCGTTCCTTTCCTTTCCTTTCCTTCGCTGCTCTGCTCCGCTCTTCTCTTCTCCTTTCTTGTGTTGGATTCTGAGCTTGGCCCAGTTGCTTTTGATCATTAGGTGTGTAGCCTCCACGAGGAGTGTTTCTGCTGTGTTTTTGCAGGCCTTTGAACTGCAAGCGCGGGCCTGCGCAGGCAATGTCTCAGGAGGCGGCGTGCAACCGGTTTGCGCAGCGCTTTAAGAAACACAAGCTGTATTTTTTATGAGTTAGATTGTTGTTCATATTTGTGAGTAAGAGCAGGATCATCGCATTGATGATCATGTGCCACCTAGTTACTCTCTGTCTCTGACCAACCAGACAAATTTCCTGAACATCGAATCTTGTCGGTTTGCACTTCAACGCGGTCTGTCAAAAGAAGGAGAGTATGGTATTTTTGAACGGAGTTGAATATGTCAACGGAGAAGTCCAAAGAGTTCACGTCGTTGGTTCATCTCCCCTGACGTCGAGACCGTTGGCGCAGGCAGATCGAGCCGATGCCCGTGACTGCGCAGCCCTCAGATGTGCCTATGGTCTTGGCGTCTGCAGCTGTTGGCGACTGCTCAATGGCTGGAGTTTTAACAGCACATTGTTTGTTGCGTTTTCTGAAAGCTTTGATACGTCTTCATCCACCCCGAGGCAGAAACATCGTCCACGCGGCGCAGAATGGCCGCCTCGGCGCAGTGCGGCACTTCCTCCGTGAGAAGGGCAAAGCCGCGCTGAGCGAGAAGAATCGTTCCGCCTCCGAGATTGAGGGAAGAGGAGTGGAGGAAGAGAATGCGAACTTGCTTTGCGTCAGAGTTTGAAGACAAGCTTAAACCAAAGAATAGAGAAAAGACAAGAGAGTTATTTTGGAAGTACAGGGATCTCTGCTGCAGCTGCATACCTGTGACGCCAGCATTCTCGAGCCTGTCACAGGGACGCGCAAGATATTTACGTGTTCATCATGGTTGCCCTGCTTTGGCGAGCCCCCAGCTCCAAGCCACGAAGCTCCGACGTGCACGCGGGCGAAGCTCGGCGGCGCCCAGGCGTCACGGCCCTCATCGCGGCCGCGGTGAACGGCCGCGGCGACGTGGTGACGCTTCTCATCGCGGAGAACGCCGATGTCGACGCCAGAGGCAACAGCGGCGCGGGGCCTCGGGTCGCGAGACCGCCGCGCGGGAGAGCTGCTAAACACACCATGTTGGACATTGCCAAGGTAGTCTTTTTGGCCCCTGCTGTTGCAAAGGGTTAGTCACTTCATAGACTTGGATCATTTAACTTAAGACTCAAATAACTCCCCAGATAGCAGATAGCTTTGGATCGGCGTTTTCGTTTTGCGGGTGCTGCTGCCGTGCTGGTGCTGGTGCTGGTTCTGGTGCTGGCTCTGGTGCGGGTGCCGGTGCTCCTGGATTGGCGTTTTCTTGGGGCGCGCGGGTGCGGGTGCTGGTGCTGCTGCTGCTGCTGAGCTGCTGCTGCTGGTGCTGCTGGATCGGCGTTTGTGTGTGGGGGTGCTGGTGACATGGTGTCATGCCAGGGACGACATCATGCCTGGGACGATATCCGCTCATATTGTGCCTGACAATTTGATGCATGTATTGCCTTGTGGTATGCATTGTTTCCCTTCGTGGATGACATGGTGTCATGCCAGGGATGACGTCACTCCAGAATGACATCGCGCAATGCCAGGGCATTTTTCCTTCGCATTTTTCCTTCAGGCGCTATGAGCTTTCCCTATACACCCGCTATCTGGGGTCAGTCTAGCTGCAAACTATAGGGGGTCTTACTTTTCAATGGTGTGGCTCTCGATCGGCGCTTCGTTTTGCCCGTGCTGGTGCTGGTGCCGGATCGGCGTTTTGTGGGGGCGTGCTGGTGCGGGTGCTGGCTGGTGCAGGTGCCGGTGTGGGTGCTTGAGCTGGATCGGCGTTTTCTCGCGACGTGCTGGTGCGGCTGCTGCGGGCGCGCTGGTGCTGGGTGCTGGCGCGGGTTGGTGGTTGGTGCTGGATCGGCGTTTGCTTGGGGCGTGCTGGTGCAGGTGCTGGTGCTGGTGCGGTTGCTGCTGCTGTTGCTGCTATAGTGGTGCTGCTGGATCGGTGTTTTGTCGGCGTGCTGGTGCAGGTGCTGGTGGTGGTTGGCATGGCGTGGTGTCATCCCTGTCACATGTCATCCCTGGCGGAATGCCATTGGCGCTGCTCTTTGACAACGAAACCTATTAGACGTCGGGTTCTTCCTCCAGGCACTATTTTTCCCCATACACCCAGAGCCACGCAGCAATCATTTGACCAGCATCCAAAACCCGGGTAAAGAGTGAATGGGGCAATATGAAACTATATGGTATTAGCGTAAGACTCAGTTGGAAAGGACTTTTGGTTGCAGATCTTGAACACTGCTCATTTGATCTTTTGTCTTCATCGTGTCACTTCTCTGCAGCTCTCCGCCACCGACACTGACCTCCGGGCCGCCGCCAAGGCGGAACGGCCCTCATAAGGGCCGCGGACAACGGCCACAGCGACGTCGTCCACAGGCTCCTCGCCGCGAAGGCCGACGTGGCAGCCGCGAACAACAACCGCACGGACCTCGGAGAGTGACCACTGCGTGGGGAGGCGTCAAATGTCCCTGCCATGGTGCTCACTTTTGATGGCATAGTTAGTTTAATAAATTGGGTTCGGTCCATCCCGAAGGGGTTCAGTTCAGGTTTGTGGACGCAGGGATGCTCTGGACATTCGCTTCACCTCTCCAACCTTGCCACTAGGGTCCATTTGCGTAATGCAAACATTCTTGGCGCCTGCAGCTTCACATCGCGCCAATTGGCGACTAAGTGCGAAATGTGCAGAAACGTGTTTGAGATTCTTTTTCTGCGAACTTTGACTCTTGAAGGCGTTCTTTGCTCTGGACACAAAGTCAAATTGGTTTCTGGAGTTCCTTCATGTTCCTTTGGTTGGTGGAGTTAACTTATACAGCTGGTTCATTGCCAGAATGGATCTCCTTCGGGATGAGATCAAGCGACAGGTCCGACCCATCGCCTGCTGAAAGCCTTTTTCGCCTCTGAGGCGACACAGCGCTTCACGCGGCTGCCATCTGTGGCCACGCCAATTGCGTGGAACCGCTGGTGGCTGCTGGTGCACCGCTTGACGCCAAGAACAATGATGGCTGACGCCTCAGCAGAGCTTTGGGTCTCCATGTGGCGACTTTGCCCTGTGCATTTTCCCGGTTCAGACTTTCATGACACAGTCCGAAGCCTTTACTGCAGTCTATCCATATTGAGGAAGCTATTGGATTTCTAGATGTTGAATCCTTTCATTGCGTCGAAAGATGGAAAGCCATGTCGAAGTCTTGAGGGTTTGTCAATGCGCAGCAATTTCGGGTCTTTCAACATCATTATAAATTGTGACCTTCACTTTTAACTCTTTAATCTTTCTCATCCAGTTCAGATTCAGCTTCGAAGTCCCAGTTTTGCCTCTTTTTGCATGATGCCAGCTGCTGAGGAAGGACACCTCTGGAGGCTGCAGAAAAAGAGAACAAACAGATCACGGTGGCAGCGCTGAAGAGGGCCGTCGCTGGACTGCATAATGTGGAGAGAGCTTTCGAGACTTTCAAAGGAAAACCTCGCCTGGAAAGGTGAACCAGTTGAAACATATGCTTGAGAGATGGCGCAACATACACCATAGTTTTAGATTAGTCACAAAAGCCAGGCTGAAGTGTAGATGGGCGAACGAAGGTAGGGTGAACCCAGAGCCTGCTGGGAATAATTTGTACAATGTGACCTCAGTGATCTATGAATGCTATATTACTGATTAGGAACATTGAAAACATATGAAATATTCAATTGAATTTGAATTCAATAGTTTAGAAAGATTTTAAGTTAAAAGGATGCAAATCCCAGAATTGACTTAATATTTAAGACGTTTAACCCATTAAATTCAATTTTATCAATATTTTTAAAATTCTAATATTCCGCCAATTAAATAATGTCTAAACTATTTAAAATCTTGAATTCAAAGGGGTCGCCAATTCCAGGCATCAATTTAATATTTAAAATAGTTAACATATTGAACTCAGTTTTTTTTTTTACCATTTAATTGTTTAAAGGCGGAATGTTCAAAATAGTAAAAATATTGAATTCAAAGGGGCCGTTCCAGGAATCAATTTAATATTTAAAAGACTTGAACACCTGTAAATTATTTCATCAAAGTTGAATTTAGTTTTTCAAATATTCATATTTATTTTTAAATAGGCTGAAAAATTATAATGTTTAGAATATTGTATTTATTTGTAACGAAATGGTTTAATTGTTTAAAATATTAACTTGATTCCTGGAATTGGCGACCCCTTTAACTTCAATGTTTGAAATATCTTACATATTCCGCTTATTGAAAACTGTTTCAACATATTACTATATTCAATCAAAAATTGAATTCAATATTTTAGATTTTTTTAAACATTTCCTATTTGGCGGATTATTTAGCCAATTGGAATTCAGTTTTTTCAATATGTTACATAATCCGCCTATTAAAAGATATTTCACATAGTTAAAATATTGGTGTCATTTTAAATTAGATAGTTCTATAATATTTTAGATATTTTTTCATAGGTGTACCCCTGGGCTTTAAATATTAGCCGCCTATTTAACTGTTTCTAATACGGGTCACTCGGTGACATCCTTTTCCGTGAGTCCCTCAAACAAAACAATATAGTGGAGCATGAATGGACAATGACAAGGTTTTGACAATACAAGGTACGTGAAGGAAAACCGCTGACAACGATAGAATTTTAAGGATACTGCAAACCATACTATGAATTCCAAGAAGCCTGCCCAAAACCTGCCAAGTTTCTTTAAACAAACAACGCAAACGTGACAAATTAGATTTGCACTTCCAAGGAAGAACTGAAGTTGAAGAGTTTGTGAACTTGTCAATCTTGCGCAAAACTACTGTCAGCGCTCATGTCGAGAAACCTGGTTGTTGTCATGTTGAGAAAATACTCCCACTCTAGATTGTCTTGAGGATTGCGTGCAATGACCTTCACTTCTATTTGACATTCTTTTATTGGGACATCATTTACAATACAACTGTTTGCTTAGATATTGGTTTTACTTTGTTTGGCAGATTGCAGAAGAAACCAACAGTACTATCACCAGACACATTAAACGCGCGGCTTTATACAAACGAAAAAATACAAAATGATTGTCACTGAGGAGTCAAGAATAGATTTTTGTTGCTGTAGCACGTTCACGTTTTCACATGTAGGTATTGTGGTGTTAATAAATATATGCATATACTCGCCAGTATAGTATGCATGTATATTACATATGTATACAGTATATACATGAGGTCAGGCCAATCTCGGTACAGTCCTTCAAATATATTCCGGACACACGTAGGGGGTGGCCTTCACTAGACCTACACTGCGCGGAATATTCTCCTTTATTACGTCTTTTTGCGGTCTTGTGCCCTTTTAAGCCAGACTTTCATTATTTAAGGCATGATACTTTCTTCAGGTAGGTTGTATCGGTATTTATCGATATGCCCTTTACAATACTTACCCAATGTTCATATATATATATATATGCAAGTGTGGTGACTTGCGAAGAAGTTGAGAAAGGAAATCATGGCTGGCATTCAATATTTGAAAGTGAACAGCATGCATATTACATACTGTACAGTTTGGATGTATTTTGAAGGATAAGGCGCAATTGCAACATTTATACATAATTACAGAACTGCTAGAGGTATAGCAAAGAGCTTCTTTTGCAACACCACCTGTCCAAGGTATGAAGCCTACTCTAAACTGAAGCATGCTGGTATTACAGTGTATCGTGTTAAGATTGATGCTTTCACCATCAAGGCTGAAGATGAACAAAACCCCAGGGAATTATTTGACTTTATTAATAAGATTGGAGGCTGAAGAGAGCAAGTGTGCGGATATCAATTACTTAACAAACTTTCCATTACCAAGTTGTAGAAAATCGAATTGTAGAAATACCAACCTCCAAGAACAGATAAATTGAAATTGATGATTATGATACTGATTATATTGTTAGTAAAATTGAAAAAGTGAAACAGTAAATGATTAGCGGATAATTTGCGGGAGTAGGCAAAAGTCATACCTGCAAGAAAGTGGTTGACAAAGGCTACACAGTATTATTTGTACGCCAAAGTAAGGGGTTATTAGACAAATTTGAAGGTGATGTCACAACAATAAGCAGGTTTTTTGGTAGAAGTTTTGGTGATGTTTAAAGAGAACCATCTGACTATTCAGAATTTGATCAAATCTAATGCATCGGCTTGAGTGTCTATTGGAAAACCAAGTTTGTTGAGGTCTTTTTGTTTGCAACAGGTGGTACCAAACAAGTAAAGCCAGTTCAGGAACTGACAAATACCAAAGATTATGAAATGGCACAATGACTGACAATATGTTTGGGCATCATATATTGTTGAGAGTTTATAAGAGACTGAACGCAGAAGAGGGTGAACAAAAGCTGAACAAAATCAAGAACTATATTTATATAAATATTTGTAAACGCAAACGACTAAACTGATTGAGAAATACGCTAACCATACTGATGATATTACGTCGTCAACATACAACATATCTTTTTTGAGTGAGACCTGTAAACACGTATCAAGTGAGACTAACTGGAAAGCAGAAACAACATGAATATGACGTAGGCAAAATCTTGATATGCAGGGAGTATACCAAATCAAAATCATGTGTCTTCAATGTAAATGTCGCAAAAATGGTAATGACAGTTTTACATTGAAGAACCGAAAACACCGATATATGTTTCAATAATTAGCGATTGACAACGCAAGAAACAAACTTCATACTTGCTTGGTGTTCAACTGGCCATTCTGGTTAAGGCTCATATTGCAGTATTTAATTACAACCATGTTCTTCTATAAAAATATCCTGAATGGGTTTAGACAGCCTTTGCAAAATATGGTCAAATTCTTTAGGTATAGCAATGATGCAAATGATTATTTAGTCCAAGATGCATTATAATCATTTTTGAGGGAACAATTGACAACTACAAAGATAATAATAAACAACCAATAAAAGTGCAAAAAACATGATATGTAATTGTTCAGTGGTTCTGGGATATTATCAAAAGTTCGTGTAATTATTGTGGATGTGGATTTCATATTGATATGAAAGGTTTTGTTATGAAACATTCAACTTGCCAAAGAGTTTCTTCTCTTGAGTCTCACTCACTGGAAAATAGAGTGCCTTATTGTTGTAGATGTTGGAAGACTTGTTTCAAGACATATGATATAGACAGTATGGTAGTTAGGATTAGTACAGGTAGTATGTTGTAGTCAGTCCCGGCTTCAAACAATGCTGTTTTGGTAGCGCTATTGAAGGTCGGCGTTACGGTCTTGAAATTGAAATGCTGCATATGATGTATTTATGCAGTAAACTACCTCTCAAACAAAACAAACAAAGAACAAACAGAAAACAGAAAAAAACATTTTTTCCAGACTAGTCTAAACCTTTGTAGGATGAACATGGGGTCCAAATCATTTTATTTTGTTGGTTTGTTTGTCTCTTTTGGTTTCCTGGTTCTAGGATTGGGCATCATGTGCAAATTGTTTTTTTGTTTCCCGTTTCTAGGATTGGGCATGGTGTGATATGGATATACCAAGTGCGTATCCTATATGTCCAACATATCCGGTTTAACATGAACTATGTCCTATTGGTGCAATTACAATTTGCATTCTATGTGTCTATGTATGTCCTATACGCGGCGTCAAGCCTAAATACATATATAATACATATATATATATATTTGACGCCGTGCCAAGCCCCTACATCTCTCCAAGTGTTCTTTCACGAATAGCCGCACCTCCGGCTTTCTTTTCAAACCCAAGTGCAGAACTCTCTACAATCCACATTGCTATAGTTTTATGTTGTTTTTGCGATATTGGCAACGCATGTGTATATATAATTTTTGTAGAATGTAGCTATGTAGCTAAATATGTTTAGACATTGCAGTTGAATGAAAAACACGTAGAAAATGGTGTGATACATATATATATATATTCATATGTATATATGTGACATTATGATGATGACAATTGTCCTTGTGAACAACGCTGAAAAATATATATATATTATCTTTGTTGATTTGGTTGATTGTTTTGATCAAAAGCACAGATAAAATTTATACATAGTCATAGTCCTACTCACTTATTTGCCGTAACTTCTCATTAGTCGTTTAAAGATATCCTATGTCTTGATTGAACGGTAGAGTTTATTCGCTTGGTTATTGCGGGCGGGTCGCATTAAACCAATTATTCCCTGCCACGGGGGGGAGCGGGCGGTCCAAAATGCACCTCTATAAGGGCCTTGGTGATGTCGAAGAGGTTCAAGAGCGCGTTCTTGCATGGTCAAGTGGCCGTGATACCGTTCAAGTGGACAGCAGGATGCCCAGTTGTGTGCAGTGTATGGTTCCTGGCCAGGAGACATGCAGGCAGACAGCTGCAAGGACAGCAACCTGCAAGGAGGTGCTGTAAAGACCTCAACAAGGAGGCAAAGTGTGTGAGTGTGTGTGTGTGTTTGCCCCTTGTAGTCACAGGGATTCTTTTGAATTGTTTTCTTTTGCAATGAGCAGGAGCCGATTTGCCTATCCAGTCCAACGAAGCTATGGCATTTCGGTGGATGAGTGGTCTGATCAACCACTTGTACCTGCACAATTTTTAGCCTTTGGTAAAGGGCTAATGCAGCTGCAGTCACGCACGGAACGCCGTCACTCTGTCGGATCGACTTCGCCTTGACCTTTGGGCCACATGTCCTTTTGAAGACCTCCAGGATCTTTAGGACTTTCCTGGTTCTTTCAGGATTTGGGTGTCTTAGCCTGGCGTGTGGCACCGCTGTCAAGTCAGTACGCATATCTATAAGTGTGTGTGGTATCAGCAAAGGACCGTTTTCTGTACTGCTCAGCTGTATAGACAAGCAGGCATGCTGCGTTCTAGCAGCAGTGAACGTGTAGAACGCCATCCAACCGGTCCAAGGGTGGCCATGTGTGGTGGCGTTTCGTGCAAGTTTTGGGGAGGAAAAGGGATCCAGCAAAGGAGCGCTATCTTCTGGGATCTAGCCGCATCTCCCCAAGCAGCTGCAAAGAAATTATGTTGAAAGACGGTGTTTGATCTCCTGTAAATACAATCTACCTTTGCAAAGAAACTTCCTGTTTGGATGGTCCAAGTGAATTGTGACTTTTGGACATGTGGCCCCTTTTCAGAAGTCGGAGGAAGTCTCCAGCGAAAGCTGTGCGTTACTGCCTTGGCAGGGCTGCGCGATGTGAATCTTGATGTGCAGATTTCGCGGCAGGCGCAGTATTTTGTGGACCTTGAAGTGCAGACTTCGTGGCACGCGCAGCACTTTTTGAACCTTGAGGTGCAGAATTCCTGGCAGGTGCTACACCTCTAGACCTTAGAGCTTTAGACGCGCTATGATACTCTGCTTGGGGTCTCTTGCCGAGATAATTTCCAAAGACCTCAGCGGTTGTTCTGTCGAAGCAAGTCGCCACCCGCGACCGAGCCTCGTGGCCTCCGAGGGGTGTATTGAAGGGCGTGTGTGTAAAATGATTTGGCTTGTGCGCAAGCACAAACTGATAGTGCAGCCCGCAGCAACCGCAGTAATGCAGCTTGAACTTCATACTATGACAGCAATTTCCAGTTGCTGATGTACACCTATTGAGTGTCTATGAAAGGTGGTTTTCGTCCCCTCCCTTCTCAGGTTTGTTCTAGCTGCCGCATTTAAGCCTCTTCACTCTCCCAAACATCGCTGCCAGTGTGCGTGTTACACGTTGCTGCCTGGCCGCTTGTGGCTATCTCTGGGGGTTCTCCTTGATCCCCTAGCCACCACCTTCACGGAGGGTGCGACGCTGATCGCACAGTAGTTATCTATTGGGCACCCTTCACTGCCACCACCCTCTTGGCGGAGGCAGCGGGGGGGGTCGATTGCGATGATGGTGACGAGCAGCAGAGGATGAGCTACCTCCACCAACAGGGGGGGCAATGCGCCGGGCCTTGTTGCCGGTGTCCTGGATCTGATTGTGGGTGGCCTTTTTTCTGCGTTCTCCTGGGCCTATCCAGATGTATGTTTCAAGGGAAAGGGCATCAGATGATGACATGGTCGTTGTGGAAGCAGGATGGTATCATTGGGTCAAGAGCTCGGTCCAATCAAGAATGGCAAGAGTCCAGGTTCGGCGTGGTTCGGCCTTGCTCTCCAGCAGTCTTCGCCTATTTCTGTTCTGAGTCGAGCAATGGTGGCTCTTGGTGACCCATGTTGTTCTGCGCGACAGCAGCTTCGAAGCCTATAGCAAAAAAGAGTTGGCATGGCCACGGCCAGAGGCCTGGAAAGCGCCCGTCACCAGGCCATTGGCCCACGTTGTTCTTTGTCGCTTGAGCGTTCTTTGTCTATTAGTGCTGTGGGGTATTTTACACTCTTCAGGTTCTGTTTTGGCCGACAGCTGTGTCAAGGGCTGCACTGTTTGCGCGCATACTTTTCTACGTATAATGTTCTATGCGCAACGTCAGGCTCTCAACCGACCATTGTTTCAGCATGCTACGCGCGCAATAGTCGTGCTGGATACTGCTTGGCCTTGAGCGAGTGAAGCCTACGGGCTTTGCCGCTTGCGCGCATACTTTTGTGCGCATACACTTATACGCGCAAGGTCATACGGCCTTATCGTTCTGCAGATCGTTGCTTCAAGCATGTTACAAAGTCAACAGTGGCGCTGGATACTGCTTGGGCTTGGGCCAATGACACTTACGGGCTTTGCTGTTTGCGCGCATACTTTTGTGCGCGTGAACTTATATCAACTCTTCGAGAAGGCGATGGAGAAAGAAAGATCATACGTTGCTTGTCCCCCAAATAGGGATAGCGATGGGGTTCTTGCTGCAAATAAGAATGAGCTGGCTGCGCTTTCGAAAGGGTGTCGGTGCTGGTGCTGATGTTGTGGTCCTGGGTGCTGGTGCTCTGAGCTGTCTGCGCGCGCGTTTAAGACGGGGAGGTGCCGTATAAGCTGGCTGTGCAGGCTGTGTACATTCTTGTTCCAGCCAGTCGCATGTTAACAGGTCGTGGGATTTTGCCTAGCTATTTGGGTCTATGCTGGGGGAATTTCTTCCCAAGAGATCGCATCTCAAGCAAAGATTCGCCTGGACTACCCATGTTGCGCCTCCTCCGCAAAATCTACCAGCTCACATTTTTTGCACAGAATCAAAGCCAAGATGCTTCATCATGTTCCCGAGTGCAATCAACAGCTTGTCAACCGAGGCGGAAAAAAAACGGAAAGACCTGGAGGCTTGGTCGTTTGTTTGTGAGATTGTTTTTCTCTGGGAGGAATCTAATAATAGACAGCTTGGTTCGCCTGTCTCCGCAAGTTTGGAACACAGCCATTTGGAAGATTCTGCAGAACTATGCAGCACTATGCAGCTACATGTTGTGTGCCTCAGCGATCTCATTGACCAGGCGGCGGCGGCAACGTTGCGGCAGCAAGAGATGGCTGCCTTGGAGGCCACTTCTGGTGTTTCCCTTTCAGTTCTTTGGCCACTTGAGGCCACTGGTCTCCCTGCGTTCGTTTCTTGTGTTGCTTAGTCCAAATCGCCTCTTTGGTGAACAAATACGGATCTTTTCCGAGCGCTTGGTGTCGATGTAGAGTCTGTGAGGAAGGTTGGTTTGCCTGCAAGAATTGCGCGGCTAAGCCACAAACAAATCCTAAGTACGTGCTGTGCTTTGCTAACATCCAATGCACGATCTGTTTCAGGTAATTCTGACTACTCAGTATGGATTCATTTCTACACATCTTTCAGGCACAGATCTTGAAGTGGCAAAAGAGCGGCAAAGCACCGTTGCCCATGGTGCGTCTATGCTTTGTGGGACGTGGACATGCCGGTAAGACCACGACCTTGAGGCGAGGGCGTTGTTTTTTGTTTTCCCTTTGGCCATCGGCGAGGTTTCTCACATCGTGGTCAATGTTTACAAACATGTTTGTTCGAAGAGCAATGCCGTATGTTTCAAGGACCAAACTTACAGGCAAATGAAATGTTCGGCAGGCGGCACCGTGTGCGTGTTTTGAAGTATGGTTTAATTTTGGTGGCGCATTGCAGGCGCTTAAAAGGAGAAGATGTGAAAGAGGGCGAAGAATTCTCTACCTATGGTATTGAAGTTTGGGCTTGCGAGAGATCAGAAGGACTTGATGCCCGTGATGATGCTTGGAAGCAATGCAAAGGAAACCTTCTGGATGATTGCGTAGCGAGGAGCTTCCAGGGCAGACGCACCGATATTAGCAACGAGGGAACAACTGGAGATGAAGCTCGAAGTCGGTCAAAGGAGGAAGCGCCTGACCCAAGACATGAAATATCTCAAAGTGGCAAGCCGGAGGAGGGGCCTCAGGGTGGCAAGAAGGAAGACCTTAAGGAACATGTCAATAGAGTGAGTGGAGGCGAGGCCCGAACTGCATCTGAGGGCCTTCAGAATGAAGGTCAAGAAGATAGGGGTCCTATACTGGCACGGCAAATGGGTGTTGAGCTGGTGCTCAACGCATCAGATGCCAACATTGCACCACGTCTACAATGCTTCGATTTTCCGGGGTAGCGAGAATACGCACTCATCAACATGATGTACTTCCACGGTCGTGGAATCTACTTGGTATTTTGTGATATGAGTGTGGAGCTGGAAGAAGCCTGGAAGGACTTGAAACTATGGCTTTGGGCCGTGAACCGCTATGCAAATGCTGTGAATGGCTTGGGTGGTCAGAACGCCAAGTCGCCACCCATCATCGTCATTGGCACAAAATTTTTGAAGCGAAAGTTCGATCAAAAGGATTTGCGAAAGCGCGTTGACGACTTCATCACGAGACAGATGCCAGGTTTGCGTCAGCGGCTCCAAGGTTTTATTTGCTTAGACAACTTCTCAAGAGATATCAAGCAACAAATGCATGACCTGAGGAGTCAACTTCATGAGTTGACGATGCAAGTGCTCACGACAGAGGAGTCCTGGAAGGAGAAAAGTGGTAGGTCTGATGTGCCACCGCACATTGGACTTCAAGCCGAAGCCTATCCACTTGCGTGGATCCAAGCGCATGAGCTTCTGAGCGATCTGGATGGTGGTGTCACAATGAAGGTGAGCCCAAAGCAGTTGCGAGAGATTTTGGAAGTCAAGGGTGACATACCTAAACTCCAAGAGGAACTTGCTGGCACGCATGTGCCGATGGGGCACCATGTCATTGCTCCAGCAGGCTCAGCGGTGCGACGCGTAGTTGAAGGAAGAGAAGAGGGGACTGGCCTCCAACAAGAGAGGAGTGAGCAATGGAGCATCGAAAAGCTTCGAAATCACCTGTCACAACACGAAGAGTCGGTCTCGATCGAGGTGTCATGTGACTTCTTGACATTGGATCAGGTCAAAGCATTGCTGGCCAAGATGAGACCAAAACCTCTCTCAGGGGATGATGTGACAGGAGTGCTACAACTCATGCACGATCTGGGTGTAGTTTTTTGGTTGGATGAAGATGATTTACGAGAGACCGTGGCCTTGAATGTGCGCAAACTTTCACTTGCCCTGTCAGCATTGATCGGTTTGCGCTATTGGGATGAATGCAAGTTTGAACACAGCGAAGCCTTTCTTAGCAAGTTACAGGGAAGCACACAGGGTGTTTCAGACGATGTTCTTCGGTTTCAGACAAGTGGTATTGCAAGCACGAGGCTCTTGGAGTGTGCGTGGGAAGGCTTTACTGAGCTTCAACAGAAATTGATGCTGGAGGTCATGCTACGAAAAGGACTCCTAGTTCGGCGAGCAGTTCTTGGGGAGTACGCGGTGCCGTCTTGTCTTCCTCTCACATTTTTAGCAGAACCACCTTGCGGGGCATCAAGCGCTGTTGTTTACGTGAACCTGGAGGGTTTTGTTTCTGCAGTTCTTTTCCCAAAGATCGTGGAGTACCTTTGTGAAAAGAAATATGTTCAATTGACCTCCCCACCCCAAGCGTTCAGAAACTACATCGAGCTGCGCTCTGATGATGTGTTCATCATCATGTCACTTGCTTCAGTGGCAAAGCAACGATTGCTACGCATCCAAGCAATTGCAGAAGATTCAAAAGCTGAAGAGGCCAGCCAAACGGCCAAGAGCCTAGCTGATGCCTTCTCAGAAGCACTTGGGCTTAAGGCACTGCCCTGCACAAATCCATCTGACTCCCACAAGATAGTTCATTTGCAGGAGATGCTTGGTCTCAATTTGTCAGAACATGAACATGAACTTCCTGCCCACGTGCTCCTCCAGCACAACCCGTGCCTGAACTTGAAGTGTTTCAGGAGCTGCGATGATTGCGCTCGTTCAGAGATGCTTTCGCTACTTCTCAATGAACGCTTTCTTCCAAACCTTGGCCTGGAATTGCGACAGATCATCTCCAGCTCCTCCTTGCAGAAGTTCTCCCGGCCATTCGGAAGCTTTCGGTTTGACAATGTGTGGTTTCCAGGTGACGTCGATATCGAGGAATATGTGGTCGTCAAGGTTGAAGGACCAACGCTGGATGCGGAAGAGCGCAAGGTGGAAGCCCTAAAGAAATTGAGTGAGGAGATTCAACGCATGTGCAAAAACATCCAGGGTCTTTCGGATTCAGAATTGGTCCAATGCTATTGGTCCGGTCTCAAGGCTGGAGTCGATATCAGTGGTCGCACTTTGACATGGACAGCGGATGAAGTCGTGAAGGGAACAAAGGACGGAGTTCCGTTGCACGAAGCTTTGAGGCAGGGCCATCGGTCCTGGACTGCAAAAGTTGACTTGTTCGCCAAAGTGAATCTCTTTGCAGATGTGGAAGGGCAAGTACCCCACTTTCGTGAAGTCACGAATGTCATCCGCTTTGGATATCGCCAGGAAGGCTCTCAGGAAGGCTCTCACATCATCCACCCGGTGACGCAGGAAAAGGATTTTCTCAAGGCGGTTCAGGACAACATTCGGGACTACTCTTCGGCGCATCCGAAGGCCATGAAGTACGTCCGGTCCTTGAGATTCTGTTCCATAGTGTCGTTTCGTTGTGTTTCTTTTTCGGTGTTTGTGTATAGTAGCAAGGCAAGAGTGACAGCCATGAAAGGCCATGAAGCAAGTGATTGAGGTGAAACGCCTCTGGGAGCGAAGTGCCTTTATGGCGCAAAGGGGGTTTCACTGCAAGGAGCACTTCCAGATGTTGGAAGCTTTGAAACCGATCTTTCGACATTGGGCGGCGCAACTGGCTCAAATCTCTGCACATGCCGAGACATTATTGAACATGTTGGAATCAACGAGGGTCTCAAAGAATGTACAGCAGCAACGAGACGCCATCGAGGACCTGAACGTGCTTGGTCCCATCCTTAGTGAATCGAGTTTGGTTTCCACACAGTTCTCCTTCAGAGAAATGTTTGGAGCTGAATTTGTGCTGAGGCAGCGATGTGGAAGTGCTTTACGAGAAGTGCCAAAGTCTTACTGACGACCCAGCGGCTGAAGAGGGAGTCAAGTGCTTGCAAGAGGTATTGGACCTTTTGGATCCCTTCCAACCCTATGCAGATGCCGATGTGGAGAAAGTGATGGATGTCCTCAAGCAGGTCGAGGAGCTCATGAGCTGTTGTGTTGAGCTGGTGATCATTAACTGGCTTGGGGACCGCAGCAAATTCACCAGTCCCGTCTCCAAAGCGCTCCAGGACGGGTGGGTCTTTCCGTCCGATCACCTTCCGATTGGTTGCAGCATCATGACCGAAGTCGGTGGGTCGAAGGCTACATTCAACGTCGCGTCGTGGAACGTACTGAACCAACGGTACATGAAAGACGTGCTCAACGACGCACAGGGCTTGAAGTGTTCCAGCTTGGCTACACAGAGTGTAGGGGACAGGAAGAAGGTTATTTGTACGAAAGTGGTGGAGATGCTCGAGCACTCGGATTTCCACAAGCACATTTTGTGCCTTCAAGGGTGCTGGCCTGCTCTATTGGATCTGCTGGATAAACATATCTCTTCAAAAGGTTTTCTCCTGCTGCGCTGGTGCAAGGAGTCCCCGAACCAGGAGGCCGTGGTAGGACGTGTTTCTCAGACCTCCAGTTATGTGTACCCGTAATATTCATGTGGCATCATGTGGCTGCAAGACTGAACCATGTTTTGCTTGTGGCAAGACTTGCCTTGGCAGGCGATGATTGTCGATACAAAGATGTTTGACGTCCAGATGCCGAAGGACCTTCAAACACATCATGTGTTCAAATCAGACCAGGGGAAGGCGCAATCAGATGGGATCGTTCTTCGTATTTGTGTTTGATCCTATCTCTCAAAGCAGTAAGACAGCAATAGGAGGCACGTGTGCCGCTCTCAACTTCACCGAAGTACCGGGCTTTGCAGGGCTTTGCAGGGCTTTGCCACATCCTTGCGTCCGATCGTAGGCTGTCACAGAGGTTCTGCTGTCGCTGAAGAATGGCAATCGGAAGTTTCGGATTGTCACCACGCCGGGATTCCAAGAAGGAATGACCCGATGAGAGCCCGGGAGAGCCCAGGTGGGTCACCCTGGAAGGCCTCAGTTGTTCTCTTTGAAGGTATGCGAACCTGCTGCTTTTTGGACGGGCAGTACCAGTAAATCTAGGAATGTTGAATGGCAAACCCTGATCATTTACTGATATGCTGCCCCGAAGCTGCAAAGAAGTGGATACCCACCCCAACCTGTAGAAGTTTCATATGTCTGAATAGGAAACTTTGAGTACGGGAAAGACCACATTTGCTGGACACTTTTAGCCTTTAAACGAACCCCCAAAAACCCAACAAACCCATGGAACAGGTACCGAACCGAGGGTAAAGCCGCAAAAACAACTCCGGATCACTTTGTTCATTGACTCCTCACCTTGTTTCTATCTTTTTGTATCGAGGCATCTTCCTGGCAAGCCTTTTGGCACTGCCCGGCGTGAATTCTGCGACTTCATTCAAAAACGGAAGGAGCTCTTTTGGCTTGATTCAGCACTTACTTGTATTGCATTACATTCCAATCACTTTGCATGGGCGAAAGATCATGAAAACCACGAAGCCTTCAAGACCGTTCTCCTCCACATTCACAAAACCAGTTACCAATCATGCCCGCCAATTGCCCCGTTTGATTTGACTCTCCTGAAGGAGGACCATGAAGCAATACCCACCATTCTCGCTGGCGACCTCAACTTCCCAGAAGAGGTGGTCCCAAGCAAGACCCGTGTCCTTGTGGCGCATAGACTTTGTTGATGGATGCGTTGACCTCATTGCCTTGATTGAAATACTGGCAGGCTATCCGCCCCCTACTGAACAAGCGCGATGGCAAGATGGAGAACGTGAAGTTTGTCCCAATCCCATATCCGACCAATATATGTCAGGTGCGCTTCCAGTATATGAACACAGTCCCTGCTGAAATGGTTGAAGCATCCAAGCTTTGTCGGGCCATTTTGTATGCTGCAAACCAGTGCTTTGTAGCATGTCAGGGATCTCTTCTTCCAAAGAGGATTGATTGCATTGCATTGCTGTCGGGCCACGAGATGGTGAAGGCAGGGGCTGAGATCAGCTATGTGTCATGCGAATCATCGCTGTCTCAAATGTGCTGTGTCCCTGCCGGACAGCTGTGATGCGGTCTGCGAACCAACATCATCGACGTCCCACCACAGACCACAGCCACAAATGTCAAGTTAGGGTTGAAGACCAGTCACAACATTGATTTGGGAGAGGCAAGTGGTTGATCAAACTGGAAGCATTGCCAAGTGGCTCAAGTTGCAACCAATCACAGCAGCTAAACCAAGCTAGAACTGCCACAACCGCCGCCACTACCTCCACCAAGATCGATACCGCGTCCGTACCACACCTTCGACTAGGAGCACTCAAAGTGATGATGCATTTTTTGTCCATCTCGTTTGTGCTTGCAGAACATATGTGCGATTTCATCCATAGCTGGTATAGTATAGCCACGGTTTGTCACGACCAGCGCCTCTTCTCACGCTGTCTTGCGGGTTGTGACCGCAATCTTGGCGCTGGTCCGTGCGGGTCAGGTGAAACCTTTGTCAGCAGAGAATGTCCTTCCTGGCCTGGCAGACATGGTGAAACTCTTGGAGTCCAGGTGTGGTGCTGCTCTTTGTGGTGCGTCTTCCGCAGCCACCAAGCCAGCGTGTATGGCAATACCATGCAATAACCTTGTGAAGACATGTGGTGACAAGGACATGTGGGACACACATCCTCCTTCTTTTGTATTGATGACCATCTCTTTGCAGCTTTAGTTGCCCTTTTGTTGGATTCTTTGGTTTTGAACTCCTTCCAGCCAGAGGAAACGATCATGGATCATCCTCTTTTCCCTCTATACTGAATACCCTATGATGTACCTATGCCGTTTAATTAGAGGCATTTTGTACATGTTCATTGCCTGAAGGTCTTGGGAGCTTGCAGAGGTGAAGATGGACATGAGAGAGCAAGCATATCAGGCCAGGTAGTCAGAGAACCATATCCACAACGGACGTTGCCTGCCTTTCGTATTCTGGAGATTTCCGCATGACAGCTAATTATGTCCTTTGTGTAATTTCCGGAAGCACCTGATGACCTGATGCCAGCAGAAACGCACAAAACAATATCGATGCCATATGAACACCTAACAGACCAATTCACCTCCGCAGAGACAACCTCTATATAGATTGTTGTCGAATCAGAGTCAACTCTAGAGCTGGCAAAGTTGGCTGAGGCGAGAATAAAACATCAATTGGCCGAACAGAGGAGAATGGATGAGGAAAAGAAGATGCGAAGAGCGGCGCTTGCATCTTTGACTGCAGAATCAGCTTAGGTGAAAAATCTCAGCTGAGAGACGGCCTGCACTTTGTTTTCCAGAGTCTCCAGCAGTGAGTAGTCGATGTCTAAGAGGAAACTTGAATGGGAAGGAGCTACACCGTGTTTGTGACTCTTGTTGCTGTAAGCAAAGCAAACAAGCTGAGGCGAGAGTAAAGAGAATGGAGGAGGAAGAGAAGAAGCGAAGAACCGAGTTTGCATCATAGACAGCATTCAGACAGCAAAATAATTAGCTTGGATTGGACCCATGTTCCCTCCAGGATAGAACTCAGATGTCAGATAAACTGTGGCATATGCCATGCCTGTGGCCTTTGTCCTTGTACCAACTGTAGGCAAGAGAGCAGAACGAGATGGAAGCGACAAAGGAGGAGCTCGAAGCCACCAAGAAGGCCCTGGAGGAAGAAAAGAGACTCAAGCAGGCGAGGTCTTGCGTTCGTACTGAATTGCTCTGGAATCTCTTGCCCATCGTGATTCCGATGACTGTTCACCAGTGCCGGCTGAAGGCACTTCGTACAAGTTCCAATCCCCCCGACGTATTATTGTAGACCAATGCCTCCCTGGATAGAAGTAAGTTGAAGCAAGAATAGCGAGATGAAATAACGATCAACAGGTAACTCTTGCTGGTTGCCGGTCGACTTTGTTTTGGTGCCTAACTAGAGCCTAGAGGCAAGAGAAAAGAAGACGGAAGCAATCGAAGAGGAGTTGGAATTGACACACAAGCAACTGGAAGAGACGAAGAAGGAGCTGGAGGAAAGGAGCCTGAAGCAGGCAAGGTCCCGCAATACGCGCGATTAATTGCTGAATTGCTTTGGAATCTCTTGTCCATTGTGAAAACCAAGTTGCATTCATGTCACGACGAGCTTTGTTTCATGGAAACCTGCGGTTGAGACATGTCGGACCCCGCCAACCTTCGGTTGGCTCAAGCCTTGCCTGTGAAAAGGCGCGTTCTTTGGCCGCTTAAGACCAGTTTCCACACTGGCAGCGGAGTCCCTTAGAGGGCATCCGGTTCCGTTTTTCGCTCCTCGCCATGTCGGCCTTGCTGGAGACGCTCCGTTACGATGGAGCACAAAGCACCACCCTGGCGGCGAGCCAGGACACCTTCGACTCTGAAGGCAAGTTCGGGATCCCTCGCTTCTCAGGCGAGCCAGCTCAGCTACCAGAGTACGCCTTTCGCGTCCAGATGAGGATGCTGCGCGAGAAAGGAATGGAAGAGAGCGAGCTGAAGAAAGTTGGCCCCCTGGGCATACGACTTGTTGAGGGACTTCGTGGACAAGCCCTCCGCCTTGCCCAGCAGCTGAAGCCTGAGGATCTAGCAAAGCAGGCAGTCAGGCCCTGAGACACTCCTGAAGCTGTTCAACGACACCCTGAAGCCAAGAGCGTCTCAAGAGGCACGAGAACTCTACAGTGCCGGGTCGAAAGAAGGCGGCATGCTCAGTCGCCAGTCTGGCGAATCTATGTCAAGCTACATCACCAGAAGAAGGTCCTGGTGGATTGCCTTAAAAGGCTTAGACAGTGCCGTCGCCATCCCGGACGTGATCCTCGCAGAGCAACGCCTGACGAATGCTCAAATCTCTGGAGATCAGAGATTGATGGGGCGAACAATGCTCCAAGGCACCCTGACCTTCGACACGGTTGCCTCCGAGTTGATAGCACAGCGCCCGAGGATCCATGAGTTCGAGAAGCAGCGTGGCCCAAAAGGCTATGGGAATCATTCACGCCCATGGTCACGACCTCAAGGACATCAACATCGCCACAACAAGCCCTTCCGGAGCTACTTGGCTGAAGATGCAGATGAATGGGAAGGTCAGGACCTCACTGGCTTTGATGAAGTTGAAGAGGATCAAACTGCCTACTTCCAGGACACCGAGACCGTTGTTGAGGAAGACGCTGAGGTCTACCTGGAAGAGCACATGTGCTTTCTCATCGAGAATGGCATGGACATTGACAACGAAGAAGCATGTGCCTTGGCAGCTGAAACCCTCCAGCTTGAGTATGAGGCCTACAATGTGAGGCAGCACGCCTCTGGAAAGGGTCATGGTGGCTTTCACCAAGCCCGTCAATTTGATGTTTCTGGACAGCTCTCCTTCCAGGAACGAAAGGCCTGTTTGATGCAGCTGAAGTCAAAGACCGAATGCCGTCGTTGCCATCAGAAAGGTCATTGGTCTGGTGATCCGCAATGTCCCAAAGGATCACGAAAAGGCAGCGGCAAGTTCTCTGGGAGGTCACCGAGCACTTCATCGACTTCACCGCCTTCTACCTCCAAGAGTGGAAAAGGCAAAAGCTCTGGGAAGCACAAACCCAGAGTGGTCTACTTCAGCATCAAAGAACATGAGGATGTCCCCGATCCAGGAACAGAGAAGGCATGGTGTGGTATGGCTCTCAAGGAAGACCCACGAGGCCGTGGAGTCTGCGTACCACCACCTTCAAGCTTGCAGAGTCCTGCGACTACCAGTCCGCCTACGGGACTTCGTGCTAAGGCAGCACCAACTCAGCCCGCGGTGCATGATGCTTTGGCATTGAGTTTGACCCGGGTGCCTCAACTTCCCTTTGGAGTTCCACGCAACGATTCAGCACAAGTTGAACTGCAAGATGCTGGCACCGAGGCCTTGGTTGAGAGGTCTTTGCAATTGGCTCCTTCAGAGCTTCGTGGCCGTCCGCTCACTCAAGATGAGATGGATGAACAAGCTCTACATGCGGCTTTGCACATGGTCGCAGACATGGAGGCCATGGAGGTGGAATCTGAAGGCTATGAGCCCAGCATCTATGATCCAAGTTTGATGTCTTTCGAACTTGTACCTCATGCACCTGGGCCCTCCTCTGGATATGGTCAGAGTGGCATTCCGCCAAAAGCACCAAGTGTTCCTCCGCTACCACAACGTCATCAAGGCCCTGAATGTGAACACAAGAAGACAACCAAAAAGGGCACAAACAAGTACTACACGATGGTGTCATGTGTGGACTGTGGTGCGATCTTGGAGAAGACCAGAAAGCCAGAGACTTCAACTCCGGCAAAGTCAGCACCACCACCTCTGCCAGCAACGGCAGAAAAAGAGCTATGTCCTCACCATCGCATTTCATGGAAGGTAACAAATGGCTTCCAGACGCGACAGACTTGTCTGGATTGCGGCTTTGTCAGGATTGGCCGCCCAAAGTCAGCACCAGCTCCTTCGAGATACTCATCCTCAGCAGAAGGAGACCTTCCTTTGAGTTTCACTCCTCAAATGGCCCAAGCAGTCTTCCGCATGAGAACCTTACAAGTGAAGATTTGTCTCGTCTTTTGCGAGGCGCCATGCTCTCCATCGTGAATTGGCCGCCAGAGGATAGTTTCACTGATTCCAATGCACAGGCAGCATTTTCTCCAGGTCCTCGACCCTCCTGCACTGGTACTCCACCAGCTTCTACTGCCGCTTCGCCTGTTCCAACACCAGATAGAGGCACGGTTCGAGACAGTCGCCATGTCAAGATCTTGAACTTCGGCCGCTACAAGGGCCAAAGCTATGAGAAGGCCTGCCAGGACGCCTCCTATGTCAACTGGGTGTTGGGAGAGTCATCTTCATGCACTTGGGTCGCTACTTTGAGGACCGGCGCATGGCAGAAAGAAGCAACACAGCCTTCATGGCAACCAAGACGATTGAGGTCTCAGACACTGAAGAGGACTTTCCTACTTCAGAGACGATCGCCTCCGAGACCGACCTCATCGCCATCTTGGACTCAGGCTGCAACAAAACATGTCATGGTGAACTTTGGCTCCGCAAGTACGCTGTAGCAGTTGGGCACTCCATTGATGAGTTTCCCATGAACCCTGAAACTGGTTCCTTTCGTGGCATTGGCGGCTCGGTCACCGTTCTCGGACTTCGAAGCTTGCAAGTGGGATTTGAGCTTGCTGACGGTGGCGTCGCCATTGGAGACATCGACTCCACAGAACTGCAGGGCAGCTCAGCACCTCTCTTGCTCAGCATTGGTGATCAACGCAAACTTGGCCTTTACATCGAGCTTGGCAACACTGAGTCTGTGTTCAGCCGAACCTTGAACTGCCAGCTCAAGATCGCCGAGATCAATGGACTCCTTGGACTTCGTCTACTACCTTCTCACATCGCAATGATGTCCCAGATCTCCGATGAAGAGAGCACAGAGGCATCTTCAGAGACTTTGCAGCTTCCGGCAACACCATCTTCAAGGGAGACTGAATTCAACTTCAGTTTGGACACCGCGGACACTATGGTCCTGTCTCCCAAGTCGGAATCTGAAGACAATGCAACCACCGACGGCGAGTCAGTGGAGTTCTCTGAGAGCTACATCGCCCTGGATGAGGAGACCAACAAAACCATGACCAAGCAGCAAAAGAAGCAACTTGAAAAGGGTCTTGCTGAAGTCAAAGCTCATGATCAGTGTCTTTGGAGCACTTTGAAGTCATCCAAAACTTCACGCCCACTGCCCAGAGGATGTCGCGCTTTCCTTCTGGAAATCTTCGCCGGAGCAGCTCTCTTGGCCAGCGTTGCAAGTGGCATGGGCTATCCAGTCAGCACTCCGGTGGACATCGTCCTTGACGAAACCAACATCTTGGACCCTCGAGTGCGCCAGAAGTTGGATGAAGAGATTGAGCGAGATGATCCTTACATCATCACCTTTGCACCGATCTGCGGACCATGGAGCAGCTGGCAACGTCTGAACTGCAGCAGAAGTCCGGAAACCGCAGCAAAAGTTCTTGAAGAACGTGATCTATGGTACCCAACTTTGAAGTGGGTGTGCAAGGTGATCAAAAGTCGACTACAAAAAGGTCGCAAAGTTTTGGTTGAGAATCCCTGGTTCTCCGAGCTGTGGTCCGTCCTATGCTTTGACAAGCTCATCCAGGAGTCGCTTGTGGATGCTGAAACTGGGAGCTACTTGGAGCTCATTCGAGGTGATCAATGTCAGTTTGGCCTAGCAGACCATGTCACAGGTTTTCCTCACCTCAAGCCCACAGGCTTCCTCACTGCCTCCGACACTGTGAAGCAAGAGCTTGCCAAGCGTTGTCCAGGAGATCATCTACACTCACCACTTGAAGGAGGACAACGGACCAAAAGAGCTCAAGTTTGGCCCAAAAGACTGTGTCAGGCCATCTTGAAGGGGTTCATCAATGAGCTTGAAGAAAGAAGCCTGCACGCAGCTTTTGCAGGTGAGTTCTCGGCAGAGATGGAGGATGAACTACTTCAACCTCTTGGCAACTTCGACGCCATCTATGATGACAAGGACCTCGCCAAGAGCACTGCCTTTGACCACAAAACCACTGAAGCAGAGCTTCAACGTCTGGAGTCACTTGAAGAACGACAAGATCTACCAGACTCCTCCGCCTTAGAGTCAACAAGGCGTGAAAAGTGGTTGAGAGCAAGTCGCTCCGTTCGTGTGGCCCTGAGAAGACTTCATACCATGTCAGGCCACTGCAGCAACTCCTCTCTGCTACAGATGTTGAGAACAGCAGGAGCATCAAGTTTCACTATGGAAGCAGCTAGGCATTTTGCCTGTGAGACCTGCCGGAAGACTCAACCTGTTCAGCCTTCGAACAAGGTCAAACCACCCAACAAGCCGACCTTCAACTTTGAGATCAGCTGCGACGCCTTTGAGATCAAGGATGCAGCCGGCAATCGCCACACAGTTCTCTCGGTGGTTGACTTGGGAACTTTGTACCACCAAGCTTTCTGGGTTGCTCCAGGTGGTGTTCCTCGCAGTCATGTCTGCGCACAAGCTCTACGTGAAGGCTGGATTCAATGGGCAGGACCTCCAAAGTCATGCCTCCTTGACCGTGGCGTGCACAACCG